CACACTGTGTGAGGTGGTCGCTGTGGATGATGGGGAGAGGTGGTGATGGGTGCAGAGCCTTCGCTGTCTCCCCCCATCTTGGGGCCTGTGGATGCTGTCTCTGAGGGTGACTCTGAGTCTGAGTCGCCTGCACCCACCTCTATCTGCTTGGTGAAGTCCTTGATTTTGTCCCACTGTCTGGGGCAATATGACTTGGCTGAAGTCTGGAACACAGGGATTTTCTTCCTGTTTTCCCTGGTAGCACTCCTCTTGCTGTGTTGTCTGGAAGTGGTGACAACAGGCATCCTTGACTTGGTTTTGTTGTCATAGGGACAGCCTTTTTTCCTTCAGCCTCAATTATCATGTTAGGCTCATGTATTGTAGACCTATGGCCCATTAGGGATTTTCATTCTTTCCAGGTATGTGCATGTTTGTGTTGTGCTGATGGCTTGAACTTTGTCAACTGCTTTTTTTTTCATTCTTTCCATGTGTTTTCACCTTTCCAGATGCTCAATGAGCAGGTGTTTTCTACAGTTCCTTGGGGGCCACTTCACTCTGATTGTGACCTACAAAGGACAACATTTTCATTTTTAGTGTTGATTCACATTTAAGTTGCACATGTTGATGAGGAGCAGTGAGCTAGTTGCACACCTGTTCCAGTGTGTCATGATCAGATCAGGGCATTAGCTCTTCCATCTGTTAACATTTATCATTTCTTGGTGTCTGTAGACTGCTCTCAGCTTCATTATTAAATACACAGGGACATGCTGTGCACCCTGTCACCTCCTGTGCTGGAGGGCAGTACTGCTGGCCACTCCTGAGTGTATTCTGGTACTTGATTCCCAGCCTCCTCCCTCAGGCCCACCCTGTCCTCTCTCCCCTCTCTTTCTCCCTTTGGTGACTACTCTTGTACTTTCTGTGAAATCAACTTTGAATTCACCCTGTGAATAAGACCAGACAGTATGTCTTTCAGTGCCTGCCTTATTTCACTCAGCAGGGTGTCTATCAAAATAGTTTCTAGTTGTCTTCTGTATTTCAATAGTGTCTGTCATGACACTTTTTTCATGATGAATTTTAGTAATTTGAGATTTCTCTCTCTTCTTCATTAGGGTGACTAATGATGTATAAATTTTATTTGTTTTTTTTTCATAAAACGAGTTTTGTCAATTATTTGAATTGTTTCTTTTGTTTCAATTTTATTGATTTCCACCCTGATTTTAATTATTTCCTGTCTTCTACATTGGTATTTGTTCTTTTTCTAGGGCTTTGGGTTGTAATATCAGGTGGTTTATTTGTTGACTTTTTATTCTTATAATGAATGAACTTAATGCTATGAACTTTCCTCTTCATATTCCCTTCATAGCATCCCAGACATTTATATATTTTGTATTGGAGTCCTCACTTACCTGTTAGATTTTTTTTTTATCTTCTCCCTGATGTCTTCCATTATCCATGTGTCATTCAATAATATATTATTTAATCTCCAGGTATTAGAGTAGCTTCTATTTTTCATTTTATCATTGATTTCTAATTTTACTTCATTTTGTTCAGATAGAATGCAGGATCGTATCTCTAGTTTTTGTATTTGCTAAGACTTGCTTTGTGGCATAACATATAGTCTGTTTGAAGAAGGATCCATGTGCTGCTGAAAAGAAAGTGTATTTGCTCATTGATGGATGGAGTATTCTATATATGTCTGTTAAGTCCAAATGATTGATTATTTTGTTGAGTTCTATAGTGTCTTTATTTGGTTTTAGTTTGGAAGATCTGTCCAGTGGTGAGAGAGGTTTGTTAAAGTCACCCAGTACTATTGTGTTGTGGTCTATTTAATTTTAGTTGAGAAGGCTTTATTTGATATACATAGATATCCAATTGTTTGTGGCATATTTGTGAATGTTATGTCTTATTGGTGTATAAATTCCTTAAGCAACATGAAATATCCTTCTTTATCCCTTTTCACTAGCTTTGGTGTGGGGTCCACTTTATCTGATACGAGGACCTACTGTTTACATGGTCCATGTGAGTGATATGTTTTTTCCTAACTTTTCACCTTCAGTTTGTGGATGTCTTTTCCTATGAGATGAGTTTCTTGAAGGCGGCATATTATTGGGCCTTTTTTTAAAAAAATATAATCTGTCAGTCTATGTCTTTTAATTGATGAGTTTAGGCCATTCGAATTCAGGGTTATTATTTGAAATATAAATTGTATTCCTGGATATTTTGGTTTATTTTTGGTTTTTACCTTGACTTGGTTTCTCCTTTGATTGGCCTTTCCTTTAGTGTAGTTTCTCCTTTTGCTGATGTTTATTGTTTTTTTTTTTTTTTTTTTTTTTTTTTTTATCTCCTCCTCCTAAGATATTTTGCCAAGAATGCTCTATAGTTTGGGCTTTCCACTACAAATTCTTTTAACTTTTGTTTATTATGAAAGGTTTTAATTTCATTCTCAAATCTGAAGCTTAAATTTTGCTGGATGTAAGATTATTTGTTGGCATTCATTTTCTTGCAGAGCTTGCTATATATAGTTCCAGGATCTCCTGGCTTTGAGGGTCTGGTTTGAAAAATCTGCCGAGATTCAAATTTCTCTCCCCTTATATATAATCTGATTCTTCTCTCTGTGGCCTTTAAGATTCTATCCTAAATCTTAATGCTAGATATTCTCATTATTATTTGCCTTGGTGTAAATCTGTTTAATTTTGTATACTTGGTGTTCGGTAAGCCTCTTGTATTTGATTTTCCAATTCTTTCTTCATATGTGGAAAATTTTCTGATATTACTTAATTGAACGTGATTGTACATTTCTTTGGTTTTAATCTTTGGGCTTTCCTCTATCTCAAAAAATCTTAGATTTGGTCTTTTGATGCTATCCCATAATTCTTGGATTTCCTACCATCTTCTCTGTGTGGTTAACTTTATTTTCAAGATTGTATATTTTGTGTTCATTATCTGATGTTCTGTCTTCCAAGTGATCTAGTCTGTTGGTGATACTTTCTATTGAGTTTTTTATTTGGTTTATTTTTTCCTTCATTTCAAGGATTTCTGATGTTATTTTGTTTTGTTTTGTTTTCAAAATCTCTGTCTCCTTCTTGAAGTAATCCTTTGCTACCTATATTTTCTCTCTTATCTCTTTGATTCAGTGATCATTTTTTTTTGCCTGTAGTTGCTCTCTTATATCATTCTTTAATTCACAGATCATTTTAATTATGTACATTCTGAACTCCTTCTCTGACATTTCATCAATTTTGCTGTTAATTGATTCTATTATTGTAGTATTTTGGTTTGTTTGGGGCACTTTCTTTCTTTGTTTTTCTGTTGTAAATATGTCTTCCTTTCCTACATGCAGATCTGATGTATTTCATATTGCACCCTATAATCTTGTAGTGTCCCTGAAGATTATCTCTACCTCACCTTGGTGTTAGGCTTGTGTCCCAAGATGGATACTACCACAAGTAAATGTGTGGCAGTAGCAGAGGTAACTCAGTATAGCAGTAGGGGTGTCCCAAGATGGATTCAACCACTTACAGAAATGCAGCTAAAAGGGCTGGCCTTACAATAGCTTTGGGATGTCTGTTCTGAGATGCAGCACTTGGCCTGCTGTGCTGCAGTAGGCAGCTGGTACAGGTCCTGTTTCTTGTCCAAAGGTGGAGGGTACTACATGGGGAAGGCTATAGCAATTGCTGCAGTGTTCCAAGATGGAGGCAAGCTGGGGGAGCAATGTGTTGGTAAATGGAGAGACCCAGCATGGTCCTCTGCTCTGTGTAGAGGTGGACCTGGGTCTGGGTTCTCACACATGTCAGCAGGGATGGTACTATAATTGGCCTGGTCCTGGGCTCCCCATTGGTGGCTGGGGCAGTCCTACGCCTGGACCCAGGCTCTGTCATAGGTCAGCAGGTTGGCGGGCATATTCTGGGCCTGACCTGGACCTAGGTTTCTGGGTGGTAGGGTCAGTTCTATGTAAGGGTTATGGGGTCTCTGATAGCTTCATGACTTTGGCATGCTTAGTGGCTAGGAAGTTTCTGTACAAAGGCCCAGAATACCTGTCTGCTCTGAAGACTTCTGCGCAAAGATATGAAATGCCTGGCTACTGTAGCAATGCCCTGCATGAGGAGGCTCTGTATCAGAGTTTTATCAGCCTTGACCTTGATCTCAGGCCCACAGCTCTTGGAAATAAAGAAACTCCCTTGTAAAACAAACAAACAAATAACAGGAAAGAAAAGAAAAGAAACTCCCTTGTTAGACAACCACAATGTTTTACCAAGCTCCGTTGTGCCTGAACCTCTCTACATAACAGTAATTTTAAACAATCAACTTTCTTGAGAGCTTCACAGAGCTCCTAGCAACTATAGTGTGTGACTAAGGAAGAAGCTGCATAATGTTGCTAAATCTGTAACCTGCCTAATGACGCAGTGCACAATAATGTACTACTGATGCCAGGGACCTAATATAACATGTTGATATAAATAAAGCTGGCAGCTTGGCCATTTGATCATTCTGCCTCTGTACTTTGCTTCTGTCTTCTTTTGATTTCTTACAGTTGTAGGCCTGGGGTTGGGCTCTGGCTTTCATTGCTGGTCTTCCAATCATTTCTTTCATATGTGGAAGTTAGAGCAAAATAAAGAAATTAAGATGGTAGAGGATCAAATATAAAATGTAGGGAAAGTGATTGGAGTAGGAGGAGATTGGAAAGGGGAGGATACAGAATGCATTTAATAAAACCATGTTACATGAATATGTAAACGCATCATGTGGAATTTCATCTTTATGCATATGCAGAAAGTACCAGTAAAAAACAAGTAAGTAAAAGAGCCAAAGGAAATCGGTAGAGCAGAGGAGGGAGGTGAGGTGGAGAGGGAGGAAATGGGGACTGAAACAAAATTACTTGCATGTGTGATTTTGTCAAAATGAAACCAACTGATATGTATAATTATAGTTCTCTAAATAATAATAATAATAATAGTAGTAGTAATAATAATAATAATAATAATAATAATCCCAAATTGCTGAGGGCCTGGACAAGCTGCCCAGGATGACTTACTTTCCTGTCTGGCTTTGTTACACACAGGGGGATTACTCCATGCACTTTTCAAATCTAACCACACGGTGGCAGTAGAAAACCACCAGCGCCATCCAATTCAGAGCCATTCCTCTGGCAGGACCATCCACAGACCAGGTAAGTTCTGGTCTCTCTTTCCTCTTACCTTGGGTAGATGGGTGTGTTCCAGTATGTCATCTAACAACTCCTTTTTTGCACTGGTATACCTGCGTGGTATACTATGTAACTTTGCACTTACAGGGCTGGAAATTGGTGTGGTTTCCCTGCTTAAATACACTCACCATTGGGCAGCTGGGCCTGTTGGTGGTGATCCAGAATTAGACTTTTTGAAAGAATCCAGCAACCATCTAAAGGTAGCAGATGTGTGCTCACACTGCTGGCAATAGTCTTAGTGGTGTTCTTGCAAAGGAAATAATAATAATCTGCCTTTGTGTTGGCCTGTGGCAAAGCAGCACGTCATGGTAAGAGTGCATGGGAAATGAGACTGCCTACCTGGTGGCCAGCATGTGATGGAGGAGGGGATGGACCTGTCACACACTCCACATTGGGGCACACCCCGGGGGGCCTGAGGACCTCTCTGGTCCCACCTCTTAAGGTACCACCACCATGCGCCACATAGTTCCAGGCTGGCAACAAAAGTTCTACACGTGGGCTTTAGGGACACTGGGATCAACCCCAGCACCTAACTCCTGGGTGGGCCCTTGTCCCTATCTATAATGAGTGGCTAGTATTTTACTGAGACAGCTTGGAAGATATTAGGCAGAAAAGCTTACTTGATAATTTCTCCAAACAGATTTTATAAGATATGCATGTATTTTTGCATATTATTTATCATTTTTTGTTTTTGTTTTTGTTTTTATTTTATAGAATTGTTGAAAAATGAAGAGGTGAGTGGTGTTTGTTTTCATTTTGGTGACAAATGTCATAGAAAAATATATTTGATCTACTAAAAATTATGTTCTTGATTGATTTCCATAGAATAAACTATTAATATTCTAAACTAGTCTATATATAATTACTAATCAGTTAAAATTCATATTTGTCCTTGGGGGCCTGAGCTGTGCATACATTGTATATTTAGTATAATCAATTATACACTGTACAACTTTTTCCTTTTTAAATTAGTTACAGTGAGACACATTTGTTCTGACTTTTATCAGGTTTGCAAATGTGTTTTTATTTTCAAAATTCTTATTAATTTTAATATGTTTTTTGTTTTATTTTCATGAGTGAATGACAATTCTGTATATGAGTTTTTGTTCTACCATTTCTTCTGTTTATAAACTAACTCTATAATTTGATTAATTTTCACATTTCTCTTCTAACTCTTCATTTCTATTTTATGATATTTAACCATAACTGGTGTTGCGTTACGTGACAAGTTGTCAACCCACATACCCAGGCAGCATTTCACTTCTCCAATGATCTCTCATTTCTTGGCAGAACATGTTGAATTCTTGTACTAAGACACTAAGACATGCATAACTTTGACAGTTTCTCTGTATTCAGGGACTTTTTTTTTTCTTTGCACTCGCCTTTGTTTTGCTTGGTTTTTGATGTCTCTCAACCTTGTTCTTCCAGGGGATGTTTGTCTAGTGAGCCAGTGCCCTCCAGGACTTTGCACTTGCTACTTGTCCTCTTTCCCAGGAGATGCCCTTTTGTGGTCATTTCCAAGTGTACTCTGCTCCCCCATAATGCTGGCCCTTTCTAGCTAAGTCTGAGTGTCCTCCAGGCCCTGAGCTGTATGGACACTGGACTTCCACTGCATGCAGCTCTGCAACTGTGGAAGGTGGGATGCCTCTCCTCTTCCTGTGAGTCCCAGTGAGCACCCTGCTCAGGGTGCCTGGTGCACAGCCCTCAGCTGTAGGAAGAGTGGCCTTCTCTGCAGCGTGTGCTGTGTTTGCTTTTATTTGCTCTTTATTTTTCAGAACACCAAGGAGAATACCAAGGAGACTTGAGCTCTTTTAAATTTCTTGGTCCAGGGCTAAACTGTCTTACAACATCTGAACTTAACAGAACTTCAGGGTTCATGATCATTCCTTTATGTTCACTGATCTCCTATTTACCTGCACTTCATGCCACTGGCTGAGGTAGATTATCTGAGAATAGGAGCCAAGGACCCTTTCTAACATAGCATTGTTTTTGTGTGTTTTGTTGCTTTGTACAGAGAAAACAGAAGATGAGAACGGTGACAGCTCCATTTGACTCATAAATTGTGGAATATTTGAATATTCCACACTTGATGTTTTTTTTTATTATGGGAAGAAAGCCAAAATGTGCAGACACACTAAATGACCTAAAATAGTACTTAAGACAACCACAATATCTTTCTTCCATATTTCAACAAAATACATATAAGCATGTGTAGGACGGTGAAATTTGTTAGGTGTAGACCAAGAAAGGGGAATAGCACATGAACTGAAGCATGGTATGGAAGAGCCCATGATTCTTCCAGTGCAGACCAGAAGTGGCCAAGGGATCCTGCTGCAGAGACCCATGGCAGACTGTGAGGAGGACAGGTGAGCCAGGTGATCTCACTGCAGAGACCCAGGACAGACTGTGAGGAGGACAGGTCAGCCAGGGGATCTCACTTCAGAGACCCAGGGCAGGCTGTGAGGAGGACAGCTGAGCAAGGGGTACTCACTGCAAAGACCCCTGGTGGGCTGTGAGTATGATAACTGAGCCAGGTTATCTGACTGCCGAGACCCAGAGCAGGCTGTGAGGAAGACAGATGAGCCAGGTGATCTGACAGCAGAGCTCCAAGCAGGCTTTAGGGTGGACAGGTGAGCCAGGGGATCTCACTTCAGAGACCTATGCAGGCTGTGAGGAGGTCAAGTGAGCTAGGTGATCTCACTGCAGAGACCCAGGGCAGGCTGTGAGGAGGACAGGTGAGCTAGGTGATCTCACTGCAGAGACCCAGGGCAGACTGTGAGGAGGACAGGTGAGCCAGGAGTTCTGACTGCAGAGACCCAGGGCAGGCTGTGAGAATGACAGGTAAGCCAGAAGATCTCACTGCAGAGACACAGGGGAGGCTGTGAGGAGGACAGGTGAGCCAGGTGATCTGGCTACAGAACCCCAGGCAGGCTTTGGGGAGGACAGGTGAGCCAGGTGATCTCACTGTAGAGACCCAGTGCAGGCTGTGTGGAGGATAGGTGAGCAAGGGTTTCTGACTTCAGAGACCCAGGGCAGTCTGTGAGAAGGACAGGTGATCCAGGTGATCTGACTGCAGATACTCAGGGCAGGCTGTGAGGAGGACAAGTGAGCTTAGGTCATCTCATTGCAGAGACCCAGGGCTGTCTGTGAAGAGGACAGGTGAGCCAGGTGATCTGGCTGCAGAGACCCAGGGCTGGCTGTAGGATAGGTGAGACAGGTGATCTCACTGCACAGATCCAGGGCAGGCTGTGAGGAGGACAGGTGAGCAAGGTGATCTTCCTGCACAGACCCAGGGCAGGCTGTGAGGAGGACAGGTGAGCCAGGTGATCTCACTGTAGAGACCCAGGGTAGATTGTGAGGAGAACAGATGAGTCATGTGATCTGATTGTAGAGTCCCAGGGCAGGCTGTCAGGAGCACAGGTGACTCAGGTGATCTGATTGCAGAGACCCAGGGTAGGCTGTGAAGAGCACAGGTGAGCTAGTTGATCTCACTTCAGAGACCCAGGGCAGGATATGAGGAGGAAAGGTGAGCATAGTGATATCACTGCACAAACCCAGACAAGGCTTGAGGAGGACAAGTGAGCCATGTGACCTGACTGCAGAGACCAGAGCAGGCTGTGAAGAGGACAGATGAGCCAGGTTATCTCACAACAGAGACCCAGGGTGGGCTCTGTGGAGGACAGGTGAGCCAGGTGATCTCAATGCAGAGACCCAGGTCGGGCTGTGAGGAGGACAGGTGAGCAAGGGGTACTAACTGCAGAAACCCCGGTGGGCTGTGAGTAGGACAGGTGAGCCAGGTGATCTCACAGCAGAGACCCAGGGCAGGCAGAGAGGAGGACAGGTGAGCCAGGGGATATGAATGCCAAGACCCAGGGCATGCTGTGAGGAGGACAGGTGAGCCAGGTGACTTGGCTGCAGAGTCCCAGGGCAGGCTGTGAGGAGGAAATGTGAGCCAGGTGATCTCACTGCAGAGACCCAGGGCAAGCTGAGAGGAGGACAGGTGAGACAGGTGATCTGGCTGCAGAGACACAGGGCAGGCTGTGAGGAGGACAGGTGAGCCAGGAGATCTCACTGCAGAGAACCAGGGTGGGCTGTGAGGAGGACAACTGAGCCTGCTGATCTCACTGCAGAGACTCAGAGCTGACTTTGAGGAGGACAGATGAGCCAGGTGACCTGGCTGCAGAGATCCATGGCAGGCTGTAAGGAGGACAGGTGCGCCAGGTGAATTTGCTGGAGAGACCCAGGACAGGCTGTGAGAAGGACAGGTGAGCCAGGTGATCTGAAAGCAGAAACCCAGGGCAGGCTATGAGGAGGTCAGGTGAGCCAGGTGACCTGACTGTAGAGACCCAGTGCAGGCTGTGAGGAGGATAGATGAGCAAAGGGTTCTGACTGCAGAGACCCAGGGCAGGTTGTGAGAATGACAGGTGAGCCAGATGATCTCCCTGCAGTGACCCAGGGCAGGCTGTGAGGAGGACAGGTGATCCAGGAGATCTTACTGCAGAGACCCAGGGCAGGCTATTACGAGCACAGGTGAGCCAAGTGATCTGGCTGCAGAGACCCAGAGCAGGCTGGGAGGAGGACAGGTGAGCCAGGTGAACTCACTGCAGAGACCATGGGCCGGATGTGAGTAGGAGAAGTCAGCCCAGTAATCTCACTGAATAGACACAGGACAGAATGTGAGGAGAACAGATGAGCCAGGTGATCTGACTGCAGAGTACCAGGGCAGGTTGTGAGGATGAGAGGTCAGCCAGGTTATCTCACTGCAGAGACCCAGGGCGGACTGTGAGGTAGACAGGTGAGCCAGGTGATCTCATTGCAGAGTCCCAGGGCAAACTGTCAGGAAGACAGGTGACTCAGGTGATCTGATTGCAGAGACCCAGGACAGGCTGTGAAGAGCACAGGTGAGCTAGTTGATCTCAATGAAGGGACCCTGGACAGAATGTGAGGAGGACAGGTGAGCTGGGTGATCTCACTGCAGAGACCCAGTGCAGGCTGAGAGAAGGACTGGTGAGCCAGGTGATCTCACTGCAGAGTACCAGGACAGGTTGTGAGGATGACAGGTCAGCCAGGTTATCTCACTGCAGAGACCCAGGGCGGGCTGTGAGGAGGACAGCTGAGCAAGGGGTACTCACTGCAGAGACTGCTGGCGGGCTGTGAGTATGATAACTGAGCCAGGTTATCTGACTGCAGAGACCCAGAGCAGGCTGTGAGGAAGACAGATGAGCCAGGTGATCTGACAGCAGAGCTCCAGGCAGGCTTTAGGGTGGACAGGTGAGCCAGGGGATCTCACTGCAGAGACCCAGGACAGGCTTTGAGGAGAATAGGTGAGGCAGGTGACCTGGCTGCAGTGACCAAAGGAAGACTGTGAGGAAGGTAGGTGAGCCAGGTGATCTGGCTGCAGAAACCCAGGGCAGACTCTGAGCAGGACAGGTGAGCCAGGTGATCTCACTGCAGAGACCCAGGGCAGACTGTGAGGAGGACAGGTGAGACAGGTGATCTCATTGCAGAGTCCCAGGGCAAACTGTCTGGAAGACAGGTGACTCAGGTGATCTGATTGCAGAGACCCAGGGCAGGCTGTGAAGAGCACAGGTGGGCTAGTTGATCTCAATGAAGAGACCCTGGGCAGAATGTGAGGAGGACAGGTGACCTAGGTGATCTCACTGCAGAGACCCAGTGCAGGCTGTGAGAAGGACTGGTGAGCCAGGTGATCTGGCTGCAGAAACCCAGGGCAGGC